CAGGTCAAGTAGCTCTGAGGAGCTCAGTCGTAAATTAGAACACTTGCTAAGCACCTGGCCATTAAGCGAGGACCACTTATATTTGGTTTGCCAGTCACATGACCACCTAGCCACGCCCAGTCAGTCACATGATGATCTAGCCACGCCCAGTCACATGACCACCTAGCCATGCCAGTCAGCCAGCCACACCCACCCAGTCACATGACCACCAAGCAACACCCACAAATTAGGCCACGCCCACAGAACTGGTTGTTAAGAAATTTCAATCCCACCCTTGCCCTCCATCATTGTCATTCCTTATCCCCTGGCAACTGGGTGCTGGTCAAGATTTTTCAGCAAAAGAACTAACTGACTCCTTGTTGGAAGGGCCCATTTCAGATTCTCCTGACTACTAACACAGCTGTGAAGTGTCAAGGTCTGCTTTCCTGGGTGCACACATCGCACTGTAAGAAAGTACCTGCCCCAGACGAGGGAAGTGTTCAACCAACATCAAAGGACCACACCAAGGCAAAGACTGAAGCTTTGCCCAACAGGGATGTAAGTGCTGGTAACCTCTGCCCCCAATTGTCCTACAACCTTTGTTCAAAACAGTGAAAGGTCAATTCAGTGTCATCCTTGCCTCCTGTATCAGAGTGACCGACTCTACAAAGCAACCAACTCTCTTCATACTCTACATAAATGACCTCTGTGACCATATTAAGAGCAACTGCGTTCTCTTCACTGATGCTGTAAAGCTGTTCAATACCACAGACAATACTGCTACCGTACAAAAAGACCTTGACTATGTATCAGAATGGTCAAACAAATGGCAACTTCAAATCTCAACAAATAAATGCTCTGTCTTACATATTGGCAAAAAAAATCAGAAAATAAAATACAAGCTGAATAGTCAAGACCTTGTTGATGATCCAAGCTCTGTAAAGGACCTTGGAATACTCATCTCTAATGATCTAAGTACTAGAGCCCACTGTAACTACATAGCCAAAAAGGCATTAAGAGTTGTTAACCTAATCCTACGTAGCTTTTTCTCTGGTAATATCACACTACTAACTAGAGCATACAAAAGATTTTCTAGACCAATACTCGAATACAGCTCATCAGTCTGGAACCCACATTACGTATCTGATATTAGCACAGTTGAGAAAGTCCAGAAATATTTCACAAGAAGAGTTCTCCACTCCTCTACTCCTTGCAGAATACCTTACGCCACCAGACTCGAAATTCTAGACCTAGAAAACCTAGAACTACGCCGCCTTCGGTCTGATCTAAGTATAGTATATAAAATCATACATTGCAATGTCCTACCTGTCAATGGATACTTCAGCTTCAACCATAACAACACAAGAGCACACAATAGATACAAACTCAAGGTTAACCGCACCAAACTTGATTTCAGGAAATACGACTTCAGCGACAGAGTGGTCAATGTCTGGAATATTCTACCTGACTCTGTGGTTTCTTCCCCAAACCCCAAAAACTTTAACTTTAGACTGTCTACTATTGACCTCACCCCTTTCCTAAGAGGTCTGTAGGGTGCGTGCATAAGCGCACCAATGTGCCTACCGTCCCTGTCCTATTGTTTCTTTTTATTTTTCTTATATGTACCCATTTCATGTATTCATAACTATGTATATACTTATACCTATTATCTTGTAAGTGATTGACAAATCAAAATAAATAAAATTAAATTAAAATAAATGGAAACGCAGCGATGATTACAGGCCACAGCTTGCATCAGAAAAGGCTTAATGCCCACAGTATGCACAATAGTGATGTTACTTTTGCTCAGTATTGCTTTGCATTTTCTCAGAGTGTTATATTTTTGGGGAGTTGGGGTGTGTTTGGGAAAGTGCCTGATCTTGAGGATGTAACTTTCATACCTGACCCAATTATTACTACTATCACTATTCCCCAATGTAACCCTCAGGAACCCTCAGATAGCCCCCCTGTACATCAATTTAGGGCCAAATGATCCCAGACAGAAAATTTTGAAAACAATGCTTACCTATCACTTATTGAATCTTATCGGGCGGCTCATGATAACCACAATTTGGCTGATTGCTGGATATGTAACTATGCTGGAGGTGAAGACAAGGTGGTGTCCAAGTTTGCAAAACCCTTTCAAAATATTTGGTATCAGCAAAATGTGGTGGCTAGTGGGGTAAAATTGGTCTCTGATCATCTTCCTTCCCTGGGCATTGCTGGAGATTCTGAAATAAAGTCATTGCCTCCCAACACAGCAATTCCTCTTCTTGAAGCAGAAAAAGGGGGTTATTGTTTTGAGTCAACAGGAATTCACATTAGGGAACAGCCTACTATCACAGTTGGGTACAGTCAGTATAGCGTCACTATTAAAGCCTCTGCTGAGTGGAAAACATTTCCTGGGGACAGAAACATAAGACCATGTAACTTTGCAATGTCTGCTGCTGCACTAAAGAAGGTTAAGTGGTGCAGTCCATCTGAGAGGGACTCCTGCAGATATTCCCCATGGCACAAGTATCCTTGTTTTGACCATGATTTGGCAGGAGCGGTATCCGCTGGTGTAGGAATATTTCCATATCAAAGCCAATCAAAGCCAATTGAAAACCCTACCTAAGGAACCATTTGTCACAGCATGTTGCTACAACCATAACTCTACTCAGTGTGAATTTCACACTTGCAGAGGGAAAATCAAGAGGAGTCAGAGTGTGGTGCTCCTGTATCTTGGACCTAAAGCTCCGGAATGGGGACAGGCTTCTGTAGGGGAGATTTTGGCATTTGCTCCTGGCTGATTCATATTTGGCATTATTGCTCCACCAGGGTCATACATCATCTGTGGGCATACAGCATATCATAGGCTTCCTCCAGGGTGGAAAGGTAGATGTTATGTAAGAGCTATCTTCCCAGGCTTGCTTCCTGTGATGGAACCTCAAGACCTACAAAACCCCACGGTGTCTTTTCCTTTTCCCCGGTAGAAGCGTGATTATTTAGCAGATGCCACATCCTTGACCAGCGGATAGAATAGATTCGTTGGTTCCTCAATTAGGAATTAATATGTTGTGGGAACAATGCAAAAGATTCTCTTTACTTCTGGACACAACCGCCAATACCACTGCCATAGGGTTCGAGATAGTAGGAGCAGAAATCTCAGCAATGAGAACTACTGTTTTACAAAATACATTGGCTCTTGACATGATGCTTGCAAACGAAGGTGGAGTTTATGAACTAGTGGGGTCTTCATGCTGTGTATACATTCCAGATGGGAACCTTAGCTTATTTGCTAACATCAATAAGCTCCGCCAGGCTGTTATAGATTATAAATCAGCTCCTGCCACCTCTTATGGATCCTTGTCTGAGGGAGGATTTTTATAATTATTCGGCGGAATCTTTTCTGGAATAGCAGAGAAAATTTTACTCTTCTTAATATCTATTTTGGCTATTCTATTCCTGTTATGTATCATCATCATTGTAGTGAAAAAATGTATCTCCAACATGGTTCCCAAGGCTGCTTCCCTTCCTCTCATGACCATTACAGCTCATGCACTGGCAGGTGAAATGGGGGAGGGGGGTGTTCCTCTTCGCTGGAAGTTAGTAGAGCACCTTCCACTAGGTCTCTTTCCTCTGAGAGGGACAATAGGACCACTCATCACGCGCTGTTGAGTTCAGAGGAACCCGTGTTGATTTCTACCCTGACTAAATGATCCCTTGGTTTAGCAAGAAGTCATTTGCTGTACCATTTGATCATTTCTTTGCAATAACTGAATGAGAGCGGCTGCCCTCTCCTATGAGGGATGTATGATTTATGAAAACTTGCATGTTCATTATTGTGTTGTCCTGAAAGGAAAAAAAGGAAGGAGTGTAAGAAGAAGAAGAAAAAAAGCTTTGATTTTTGTGATACCTGTGTTTATACTTCATGGCTTTGAACTGGGCTTATACTGCTTCTTATATGATACATATTAAAGTACTCATTTGGTAAAAGATGCATACTAAGGAAAATGTAATCAGCAGTTGTGTAAAACTTACAGTTGCAATTTGATCAGTTTTTGGGCTATTATTGATATAACTGACTGAAGCATTACAGGAATACAGAACCAAAAAGTGCAGACGACAAGAGTTTTTCAAATAAGTGCCAAGTGACCAGATGGCATAGCAAATGAGGAAGTTACCCCAGTATTCTTCCACAGGAACAAAAGAGTTGTATATGAAACCCTTTTTGTGCATTTATATGAATGAAATGCAAATTGAACTAAATGGGACTGACTTCCAAATAAACCTTTGTACCACTGGTCTATAAATGTATACCTCAATACATAAGACCTCAATCCTAGCCCTTTTTGCTTTTGGGCTTAATACTTTTTCCTAAGAGAAACTGAGCTCATAAAATATACTATTTTTTCTATTTCCTCCTCCCTGTTATTATGGATTTGGGCAGTCTGGTTTAGTGCCCCCCCAATATTTTATGCATGGTGCTAGAATTCTAACTCAGCAATTTTAATTTTTAAAAATTTATTATTAAATTGATATGCTGCCCATTCTGCTATCTGTTTTAAAGTTCATCTCAGCTTCTGCTTTCTGTAGTTTCTCATTAGATGCTACAACCATGGAAAAGGGCCAAAGAAAAGCAAACTCTGCATATAGTGGTGTCACACCACTTCCTAGCACACCTGAGATGCTGGGAAGTCATGTTAATCCAATCTGTTTCCATGCTCTCAAGATAAAGGCTGCCAGGAGTCCAGGACAAATACTTGCAATCAGGAACAAATTCTGATTGCATTGCCTCAGGAACAATCACCATTGCCAAATGCGTTAGCTGTGTAGCCTTTGCATCTGCTGAATATAGTTGATTGTATTTGATAGAAGGCAAAAAACTGAGAAGCAATATATTCTAAATGAGCTGTTTCCAACCTGGGGTCCTTCAACATGTTGAATTTTAGATTCAATAATCTCTGATCAGTGTGATTTTTTTATTGATGTTAATGGAAATGGATGGGTTAGGGTTAGGGTTAATTCCATAAGGAGATTGAGCACCGATATGTCTCAATGTTCTTTTGTTTTTAGAAATGATTGCCTTCATCTTGCTAAGTCTTGCTGCAGTGCTTTAACAGTCTTTTGGAAATGTAAGTTGAATAATTTTGTATCACACATAGCAGATTTAATATATACAGTACAAAACTTTCTCCTCTTACAATTAAGAGGCTGTTGTAGGAACCTCAGCCAATCACAATTACAGCATTCTCTTAAAGATACAACAGTATTAAATGACTATCCTAGTTTATATATTGCCAACCCAACTGTTAGATGACTATCATTCCTAACAGGATTCCTACACTTTTAAGCTTTCCAGAGGGCAGTGAAGATCTGGTTCAGCCCCTCCCCCCCTCCACCAGTGTTGGGGGTTCAATGGGGCTGATTGGTATGGCACTTGGAGAGTAGGATGCCTCTCTTTTTATTCCTGTTGTGAGCCACTTAGGATCTTTACAGGAGATAGATAGCCATATAAGTTCACATACATACTTCTGCAGTATTCCCTTGAAGAACAGATTAAGGTATAATGATTAATTCATTTTAATTTGGCTGTGTGATCACCTGTTTCATATGTTGTGCCTAGTCTCCTTTCAAATACACAGACAAATGGGCCACTCTTTTATAGCTGGGGATCAGAAGAAAGTTGCAGGGAGTAGAATGGTGATAGAAGGGGATAGAAGGCAAAGTCATTCACAAGAACTGCTGCTGAGGCCTGAAGCCACCTGTTCTAGTTACCTGTTCTATTTAAAGTCATACAATTTTTAATTGTTTTTATTTTATTTTATTTTGCTTGCTATCTTAAGGTTGATTTTAACTCTGAGTCAACCAGGAGACAAGAAAAACAAAAGGAGATTGTTGACTTGCACAATTCTTTAAGGAGATCTGTGAGTCCAGCTGCTAGCAACATGCTAAAAATGGTAAACTAAATGTCATTATATTTGTCAGAGAGTTTGGAAGTTTAAGTTTCTTTCTAGTATAAATATTATATGACTTACCAACTAGGATAAGAGAACATATTTATTATTGATTGATTGAGTAATTCTGCTTTTTTGCCAACGTGGATTCAGGTGAATCTGTCTTTTTATTTGAATCTATCAGTTACAATATCACTCAGGGAAATATACAATGAAAAAATATCATGAAAATATATAATAAAAATAGGAAATTGAGGGGAATTACGTTAAGAGGGTCTTTGGCAATATCTAGTATCTTCTCATAGTGTATTTTTACATCATTTCCAATATTGGCTCTTGTATCTTTAATTGCCATAATCCCAGCAAAGACTAGACTTGCACATTTCACATAAATTGCAATCTCAAGGTCCTTTAGGTTGATATAAATCCCATGGAAATCAGTAACCCTTGTGCTCTAGTAATTGTACATAGGTACATAGCATAGTGCAATGCCTACAACATCTGGATGTCCTTTCTTCTATATGAAAATCAGTTACAATACTGCCATTTACATCCAAGCACTGTGGTTTCAATTAGCATCAAACAAAAAATAATAGAGTTGGAAGGGATCTTGGAGGACTTCTAGTCCAACCCCCTGCCCATGGTAGGAAATACTACACCGTTCCAGAGAAAATGGCTGTCCAGTCTGTTCTTGAAAATGATAATACCAATTTGCTGTACTGTTTTGTACAATCTGATTTTTTTTCTTTTATGAAAAGAAGTTGATTAGCTTTCCTCAAAGGTAAAACCAGTTTTACAAAGTATTAAAATAGCAATGCATATTGGCAAGCAAATGGCCCAGGTAGATCTTTGGTTCACGTGGCAGTATCACCAGGAAACAGACTGAAAATACCAATTGGAATGATTTATGTAAATAAATAAATATTATGACATCTATGAAAAAGAAGGAAGATGGTGGGGTAGTTAGAGTGACATAAATGACAATGTCATGATATATCCCTCAGTCCTTACTACATGCACCACAAGATCCAGGAAATGCTTTTGTGTAAATTATCAGAGTAGAGTCACACATGAACTGATCATGCAGGAACCTTGATAAGACTGGTGATTGGGGAGGAGACAGCCAGTCTTGGGCCGCTAATGTGTGGGGTTCCACGGGGGTTGGTGCTTCTCCTCTCCTATTTAACATCTAAATGCTAGGAGAACTCATCCATCACCATGGGATGAGTGTCATCAATATGTTGATAATATTTAATTCTACAGTTCTGTCCCTGGCAAACTAAGTGATGCTCTGGATGGGGAACAACTGGCTTCACCTGAACCTGGAAAGATTGAGTGGCTTTAGGTTTTGGGAACCTCCAGTTCTGGGACATCTTTGGTGCTGGATGGCATTATACTGCCCCAAACCAATCCTATGCACAATCTGGGTTTCCTTCTGGATTCACAACTCCTGCTTGAGGGGCAGATGGCAGTTGTGGCTAAGAGAGCCTTCATACAACTTCATACTGTTCACCAGTTGTGTGCCCATTCCTAGATCAAGGAACTCTTGTTCACAGTGACCCACCTTTAAAGTCCTATGTGGGGTGGGTTATTGGAGAAACAGCCTCTCCCCAATTACATCTTCCTGTCTCACCAGATCTAGCAGAGAGGGCACTGTGTGGGTTCCATTTAGGGAGCTACATTTAGGAGGCCATAGGCAATGGGCTTTCCTGGCTCTGGTGCCCACATTGTAAAGTCTCCTCCCCACCACCACAAGGCTAGCCTGAGGACACCAAGGAACTGGAAAATTAGTGAGGCGCAGAGGTGGTATTCAACAGGTTTTGACCAGTTCTGGAGAACCGGTAGCAGGAATTTTGAATAGTTCAGAGAACCGGCAAATACCCCCTCTGACTGGCCCCGCCCCCATCTATTCTCTGCCTCCCAAGTCCCAGCTGATCGGCTGGGTCTTCTTTTGTTACTGGTAGTAAAAAAAATTGAATCCCACCACTGGTGAGGCAGGGCTATTATTATTAGCATCCCTTTGCTGATTATTTCTTTTTAGCTATGTTTCATAGTTTTTAATGCTTTTGATAATAATTTTTCGTGTTATTGTGAAACAGTTTGTTTTTAATTTTGTTTAAAAGCACCACCAGAGTTTTGTCGGATGGATGGATTGATGGATGGATGGATGGATGGATGGATGGATGGATAGATAGATAGATAGATAGATAGATAGATAGATAGATAGATAGATAGATAGATAGATAGATAGATAGATAGACAGATAGAAAGATAGACAGACAGACAGACAGACAGACAGACAGACAGACAGACAGATAGATAGATAGATAGATAGACAGACGGACGGACGGACAGACAGACAGACAGACAGACAGATTAATGAATAATAAATAATTAACCTACAGTAATAATTGTTGAAATGTTCCAAAAATCATCTCTTAACCGTATTTTTTTCTTGAATTGGAAAAAGGCCATTTCGTTCTTTGGTTCCTGCATGTAAGAGCAAGTCAACACACACTCATCAGAGAACTCCATCTTAATCTGAATGTTAACAGTCCTGGTCAGAAGGAAACCCGCTTAATGGCAATCATCAGGGTACACATGAGTTGTCTGCACACATGGATGGGTTTTTTGTCAAAAAGGGTGGGGAGGGAGCTTTATAATCCATCTCCAGCTATTCAAAGAATGTTTTAGAGCAGGGGTCTCCAACCTTGGCAACTTTAAGCCTGGCGGACTTCAACTCCCAAAATGCCCCAGCTTTCCTGCAAAATCTCAAGCCTAGTGACATAGGGTATTCTGTTGCGAGTGGAGGAGTGTAGTACTCTTCTTGTGAAATACTTCTGGACTCACTCAATTGTATTAATGTCCAATAAACAAAAGCTGGTGTATCAATACAAATACTGTAGACAGCCACTGCTCCATGGACCTGGAGTATATGACTCTTAAATGTAGACCCATATATCTTCTGAGGGAATTCAGCATGGTTTTGATTACTGCATTCTATATCCCACCTGATGCCAATACTACCATAGCTTTGGGATTCTTGTATAACATTGTTAGTAATCAGCAGAATAAGTATCCTGATGCTGTGCATATCATAGCGGTGGACTTTAATCAAGCCGATTTAAAAGAAGTGCTCCCTAAATTCTATCAGCATGTTAAGTGTGCTACTAGAGGAGCAAACATATTGGACAAAGTATATACCAATATCAAACATGGCTATAAGGTTATACAATTACCACATATGGGACAACCATATGTCACTGCTTTTAGCACCAGCATACATCCCTCTTAGGAGACGGGCTGTGCCTATAATAAAGACAGTGAAATCTCGGCCAGAAGATGCTTCCCAACAACTTCAGGATTGTTTTGAGAACACAAATTGGGACATCTCTTAGCACCCTGACCTAGAGGTGCACACTACAGCTGTTCTGTGCTATATCAAACACTGCACAGATACTATCACTGTGGATAAATGTATTAGGATCTATCCCAATCAGAAACCCTGGGTGACCAAGCGCCTCTTGCATGACAGGACCAAGGCCTTTAGGTCCAGAGATGGGACAAGATACAGTGTTGCCAGAACTAATCTGAAGAAAGGTATTCAGAAGGCCAGGACTGATTATAAGAGGAAGATTGAGGATAATTTTTATAGCAATAACGTGAGGCAGGTGTGGCGAGGGATTCAACAAATTACAAACCCTCAACTGACTAATGTCATCCCTGCTGAGGGGGATGCTTCTTTGGCAGAGGAACCGAATTATTTCTTTGCTGGCTTTGAAGTGGAGACATCAGAGACAGATAAAACACAACTACCAGCCAATTGTAGCCCCCACCTCATTGTGGAAAAACAGGAGGTGAGGAACATTCTGAGGGCTGTGGATCCTAGAAAGGCTGCCAGTCCTGATGGTATCTCTGGACGAGTGCTTAAAGACTGTGCTGATCAGTTGGCTGGAGTCTTTACAAGGATCTTCAATCGGTCTTTATCCCAGTCCACTATTCCATCTTGTTTGAAGGCTTCCACCATTGTTCCACTGCCAAAGAAGTTCCCTATCAATAACCTCAATAATTACAGACCAGTGGCACTCACTCCTATCATCATGAAGTGCTTTGAGAAATTGGTCTGCCGGCACATCATTTCTGGTCTTCAGCATACATTTGATAAATACCAGTTTGCATACAGAAAAAATAGATCTACAGAGGACGCTATAGCCATCACTCTTCACACTGCTCTGGCTCATCTAGAACAATGGGAGGGCTATGTGAGGATGCTTTTTGTGGATTTTAGTTCTGCATTTAACACAATTCTTCCACATGGACTAGTGTCTAAACTTCTGGACCTTGGGCTTTCTAATTCAATCTGCCTTTGGATTATGGATTTCCTGTCTGGCCGCTCACAGAGGGTCAGATTAAGTAATCATACTTCTTCAGTCCTTATTCTTAACACTGGTACACCACAGGGTTGTGTGTTGAGTCCCTTACTCTATACTCTTTATGTGCATAACTGCATTCCCACTCACGCTAGTAATACTATTGCTAAATTTTCAGATGATACAACAGTGGTGGGACTTATCTCCAGGGGGGATGAGTCTGCCTACTGAGATGAGGTGGACCGGTTGCTTTCCTGGTGTGGAGACAATAACTTGGTCCTCAACACCAATAAGACCAAGGAGCTTATGGTGGATTATAGAAGGAACAGATCAGACATCCAGCCCTTGCTTATCAGTGGAAACCGAGTGGAGCAAGTGGCCAGTTTTAAGTTTCTGGGTATTACCCTAGAAGAGGAACTGACCTGGGGTGCTCACATTGCAGCCCTGGTCAAAAGGGCCCAGCAGAGATTATACTACCTGAGACTTCTCAGAAAACAACAACTGAATGAGAAACTGCTGGTGACCTTCTACCACTGCACCATAGAGAGCATTTTAACATACTGCACCTCTGTATGGTTTGCCAATTGCATAGTGGCAGATAGGAAAGCACTCCAGAGGGTTAATGTCATTGCCCAGAAGATCATGGGTTGCCCTCTCCCCTCTTTGGAAGACCTTTATAGCTCCCGCTGCCTTAAGAAAGTTCAAAACATTCTCAAAGATCCATCTTATCCTGGGAACCCATTTTTTGAACTATTACCATTTGGCAGATGGTACAGAATAATAAAAACAAGGACAAATAGGCTGAAAAACAGCTTCTATCCCAGGGCAGTAGCTCTTTTGAATTCTGATGTATAGTGCGGTGTTGGTGTGGTGTTGGGGGTTTCCGGTTCAATGTGTGAAGGGTGAAGGATGTATGTTTGTGTTTATTTTCATGGTCATGGTCATGATGTGCACTGAAGATGGTGTTTGATTTCGTTGTACGAGGTGCAATGACAATAAAGTAAAGTAAACTAAACTAAACAGTGTAGATTCCAGACTGATGAGCTGTATTAGAGTATTGGTCTAGCAAAAGTTTTGTATGCTCTAGTTAGTAATTCAATATTTCCAGAGGAGAAGCTTCATAAGATTAGATTTACAACTCTTAATGCCTTTTGGGCAATTCTGTTACAGTGAACTCTGGTGCTTAGATCATTAGACATAAGTACACTGAGGTCCTTGACAGAGTGAGGGTCATCAATGAGGTCAGATCTGCCTAGCTTGTATTTGGTGTACTGATTTTTTTTTTTTACCAATGTGTAGGAGCATTTGTTGGTCGAGATCTGGAGTTGCCAATTGTTTGACCATTCAGACACATAATCAAGGTCACTTTGAAGGACAGTAGCATTGTCAGTGGTATTGAATAGTTTTACATCATCCGCGAACAGGACGCAGTTCCTTATAAGGTGATCACAAAGGTCATTTATATAGAGTATCAACAGTGTGGGTCCTAGGAGGACACGGCTGTTAACTGGAGCAGGGTTTGATATAGCACTCCCTATTTTTACTATTTGTTGCCGGTTTGACAGGAATGCAGTAATCCATTTATGAAGGGATCCGGAAATTCTGTAAGAGTTTAGTTTTAACAGTAGTTTGTCATGTACCACTGAATCAAACGCTTTGCAGAAGTCTATGTAAATTGCATCTATTGCTTTACCTGGTCAAGTAGAGTAGTCCATATGTTTTTGCAGTGTAGGAGTTGTAGATTGCAGGACAATTTTTTCCTGAACCAAATTGTTTTTTGAAGAGTAGGTTGCTTGACTCTAATTGGAGGGTGATGACCTTTTTGTGACCTGTTGCTGACCTTTTTGTGAACTGTTTTTGTGAGAGGGGTAACTGGTTTGGAGGCAGGGGGTAAATGACCAAATAATTAAATTCCCCCCAATATATAGCAAAGAACAAAAACTATAACTGAAAAAAAGAGTACATAGAATCTCAATGGAATGGAATGACACTTTTGTCGGCTATACATGAAGTGGGATTCAGACTTTAAATGAATCTCTTAGCTCTTAGCATGATCCACCATTCTCATACAGTCAAAGACAGATGTAGTTTTAGTCTTCTAGGTCATCTTTTTAAAGGATATCTGGAGTTTGAGGATGAAGGGAGAATTCGTGAAGCACCACTGTTTGCAGTCTCTTCTGCAAGTGGAGCCTCTTCTTTTTGCAGATGATATGCCTAAATTCAACCCATCATCAGTTTGAAATATATGTAGTGCATTTATTGTTATAAGGAGGAATTCAGTATGCATGGGTATATAACTTCAGTGAGAAGTTCATCAATGAATAGGCTCCCTATTTTTACGATTTGTTGCCTGTTTGACAGGAACACAGGAATCCATTTATGAAGGAATCCGGAAATACTGTAAGAGTTTAGATTTAATAGTAGTTTGTCATGTACCACTGAATCAAAGGTTTTGCAGAAGTCTATGTAAATTGTGTCTATCGCTTTACCCTGGTCAAGTCGATTGGCCCATATGTTTTTGTAGTGTATGAGTTGAAGATTGCAGGACAATTTTTTTCCTGAAACCAAATTGTTTTTTGGAGAGTAGGTGGTTTGAATCTAAGTGGAGGGTGATGAATTGGTTAATGATTGATTCCATGACTTTTCATATGACACAACACAGTGAGATTGGTCTGTAGTTTTCAACCAGCCTGGGGTCACCTTTTTTGATGACCGTAGCTAAGGACCATAGCTTTGGTAAGGAGCTGGTTCTGAATGATATTTCATATATAATGCTTAGGGGTTCCGCTATGGCAGAGGAGAGCTTTTTTAAGAAGTATGCACATAATCCATTGGGGCCAATAGATAAGGATGGTTTTATGGGCTGAAAGGTTACCTAGCAAAAAATGTTTGAACTGCTAGTAGTCATGATGGAAAAAAATGATGAAATAGGCATTATGACAGCCCAATGCAAATCCCACCCTTTTTTATTGTGCCCGGAATAGACACAGTATGTTAAGCCACAAAGTTTGTGCTGTAACATCATTGTTCTTTCCTCCATATGCTTTTATCTAGCAATAAAATCAAAAATACTTACATTTTCACAAGATTGGCTGACATACACTCTTAGTTATATTTTATTTCAGGAGATCTTCCAATTATTTTCCTCTATTGTTTCTGCACTGGATTATGAATAGAGTTAAATAAAAACTGACTTTGGGATTTTTAAACAAAAGGCCATACAGGTAGTCCTCATTTAATGACCACAATTTGGACTGGCAACTCAGTCACTAAGCCAAGTTGTCATAAAGGGAAATAATGGCTGTGTTACTGTGTCAATCTCACTTTCCTCTACTATTACAGACCAGGAAGGGTTGTACAAGCAAGGATTGGTAGCAACGTTGGTTATTTTGTTACCATCATGACTGCAAAATTTTGCTTTCTAAGTCAATCACTGAGTGAAGACTACCTATATAATTCTACAATTTCCCTGAAATATCTTTCTGTGTTGGTCATAACGTGGCAGGATGTTATGTTGTTGCTTGGATATCTATTTTTTTTAACATATTGTTTCTTTAAATCATGAGGCTGAACAAAGTCATTTTGGAAATGAGTAGCCTGGAAATTAATTCAGTGCATGCATCCATCCAGAAAATAGAAAGCGATGGATGGATAGATAGATGGATGGATGGATGGATGGATGGATGGATGGATGGATGGATATCTTCTTTTTCCTTCTAGACTAGAATATAAGCAGCCCCCAGAATACTAATTTACTATTTTTGATATGAGCAAAAGGGAAAAATTATTTACCACATGGAATTTACTGTTAGATTATATTTATTTCAAATTCTTTAATTTTAATCTTTAATATTAATTAAATTTAATTTTTCTCCTAATCCGGTTCATTGTTTTGTATTTAATTTTTGTCCTAATCCGGTTCATATATTTTTTTTGTATTTATTTAGCTTACTTTTCCATTCACCTTATTCTTTTTAACTTCAGTGGCAATTCCAGGAATGGAACTGGAAATCTTCAACCTGCAATTACATGTTTTGTCACATGGTTTCTCCCCAATTATGGGCAATACCTGGAAAAAAACCATGCATAACATAACATGCACAGAAACAATATGGATGATATGCATAGAAGGCAGACTTGCATCCTCAAGCAATCATAGCCTATGATTGGCAGGAATGGAGGAAATCCTTTCTGTGTTGCTTAGAGAGAATTGAGAAAGACAGAGAGATGGAGAAAGGATGTTAATAAAGAAAGAGGAAAAATGAAACAGGGGAAAAAGGAAGACATGAGGAGGAAATCAAAGTTTCCTTCAATTATTTCTTTAACAAGCTGGGAAAATCTTTTTTTTTTTTTTTTTGCTCTCTCACAAAACTTGACAGAATTTACTGCCTTTTGGAGAAGACTTCAGAAGTCAGGTCTTGCCCTTCGATGGTGCTGTCTGCTCTCTCAAAACTGGTGACCCAAACCAAAGAGACCAAGACAATGCAAACAAAGTCAATTATCTATTGATACTGCATGAGGGTTTTGGAAATCACAAATGTAAGAGTAATAACACCATCCTGTTCATCTTTTTTCATTCCAGAGGGAACATCATAGGTTCAATTGCTACTCCATATAAATCAGGGCCACCTTGTGCAGACTGTCCTTCGGCTTGTGACAACGGACTATGCAGTAAGTTGTTTTTTTTAAAAAAAGCTCAATTATTAAATGAACATTTTTAAAGATCATGTCATGTCACCCAAGTACAGATTTTATATGAACAGCTAACTGCCTCTTGGTAGAATAACAGGCATAATGGAAGACGGTCAGCTATCCAGCAAGACAAACCTAGGCAAGACAACTGGACCACCACAAAATGAAACATGTATTCATGGGATAACCAGACATCTAGACATCGATGGTGCATCTATATGAGCCCATACTAGTCAGTGGTGGGATTCAATTTTTTTTACTACCAGTTCTGTGGGCGTGGCTTAGTGGGCGTGGCAGGGGAAGGATACTGTAAAATCTCCAGTCAGAGGTGGTATTTGCTGGTTCTCCAAACTACTCAGAATTTCCGCTACCGGTTCTCCAGAACTGGTCAGAACCTGCTGAATACCACCTCTGATGCTAGTGGTTGCTAAGCCCAGACAATTGATTCAGAAAAGATGAGGATGATATCAATCCATTTTAGCTTATTAAGAATTTAAAATCCATACCAGCTTTCTCTGAATTTTGTTCAGGGTTATTTTTGAAACTAAATCAGCAGCTATATATAATTACTCTAATATATTCATTAAAATAATAACTCTAAGTACTAGAGTATTTCATTTTCATTTTAAAAATCTTCAGCTTTAAAGCACCCTATTAAAAATACATATGTTTGATTCTGAGCTCTAAAACTTTGCATACAATTGTAAAAGAGTCCCTAGCAGTTATGCTTCTGGTAATTTCTCACTTTTATTCATGTTTCCTCTTTTTAAAATTTTCAGCAAATACTTGCAAGTATGAAGATGTCTTCTCAAACTGCAAAATTTTAAAGAACAGATATGGATACCATATTGATTTGGTCAGGACATATTGTCGTGCTACTTGCTTCTGCCACAATGAAATAATATAGCCTCTCTAGAGGAGATTTGCTGGGCAGCTACTTGGGCTTCGCCTTCTTCATTAATCAAACATTATAAGCTGGACTCCTTTGCATCTTTGGAGGCAGCCTTTGGATGGAGAGTTCTTCAAACGGTCCACCCTGTCTAGGAGATTCAGACCAAACTAGGGCCGCCCATAGGACAGTCAGCTTTGGTATGTCCCAATCCTGGATGCAATCTCCACCACAATGGAGAAGTGTTGTTGGTTCTTACCGGATACGACCTTTCTCGTTGGGTGGAGATATCATCCAGCCCCACCCTGATGTGGGTCGTTCCGAATCCAGTGAAGCACAACAACAACAACAACAACAACAACAACAACAACAACAACAACAACAACAACAGCAAAACACATCAGTCTGTCACTATTTCTCCACCAATTTCTGGGGCATCCTTAGGAACAGGGGAGTGTCCTCACAGATCTGACAGACTTAGTCCAATCAGCTAGCAACAACTGACAACCCAATCCTAGATTCTATCTCCACTCAATGAGAAAGCTCATACAAGTTAAGAACCAACGACCGTTTCCTGTTACATTGTAACCCTCATTAGCTCATTTAAGAACATTTGGCAGTTATGCCTGGGTACATATTCCAAAAGGTACCAGGAGAAAAGGACAGAATAAGGCCAGGAAGCTTAGATCTGTTGGGTATGAGCCAGGAACAAAAGGATACAGGTTTACAGATGTTATCAAACAGGTAGTGATTTCAAGAACTGCTAGTTTTGCAGAGTAGAATAATTGGAACATGCTAATCATGAGGTATTCATGCCAACGCATAGTCCTAGTTTATCGGAAGGTGAGATAGGGAAGGAGAGATAGGAAACCAGGTCAGATATAGATACAGAAGAGGATAGGCCCATGATAAAAAGAGAAGACACCGTGGATATAGATATAGAAGAGGAGAGACCTGTAACAGAAACACAGGAACACATAATACCAAGAAGATCTGAGAGGAGTAATAAAGGTTTGTCTTCTGAAAGGTTCACTGCAAGTGAGGTTAGAGCATACAGTGTCAGGAATGAACTCCAAAGTTGCCAGGATATGATGTCATTGTCAGAAAGGAAAAAGGCAGTAGGACACAGATGTATTGTTACACAATGATGTAAAGTATAAAGCATGGTTTGTTGCACATGGTTTGTAATATTGTTTGCTGACAGTGTAATTGGAATTAACCTGGTATGTATGTTTGTTAAAGGATGTAAATGTAAATGGATAAGATGTATCAGTATTTGTAACCTGATGTGTTAAAAAAGCCTGTATCTCTGGAAAATATAATGACTATGTAAAAGCATTTGGATTATCTGCTGTTTGGCTTTAAATAGGAAGAGTGTTAAGGTCTTGGGATTTAAGAGTCAGCCAGCAGTGAAACTAATGCAATATAGGCTGATGCAATAAGAATGAATTAGCATAGCATGGGTATTTCCCTTTAAGACTAGGGATGTGTTCTACCCCTTTAAGAGGTGTTTATATAAAGGCAGCCATTAGAGGGTGTGTTCTCTCTCCTTGTGTCAGGTATTCATTGCAGAGTTCTCTGTGTTAAGAACAGTTAAGAAGAAGTTTGCTTGCTTGTAATGTATTTGCCTACCACATATATTTCTGTATATGTCTTGTATATAAACCACTGCTAAATGTCGAAGTCTCTGTGTGCTGTGTTTTGCTCTTGGGTTGTCTCATAAGATCTGTCTCATGCTGCAAACACTCTGACAGGTTATGGGCCCAGTACAGAGAGAAGGTCAGAGTGACTGGAAAGCCTAGAGAGAAGAGAAACCCAGTGGGAGCTTACATCCGGATAAGTGGTTTAAATTGTGGTTAGTGGCAACATGGCCTCTGTTGGTGTAATCGGAGGAGGTTTATTGGTGTCTCGGCTGAATGAGACAAAATACCTCTCCTGGAATGTGAAGTTGGAAGTGTATCTGCAGAGGGAGGAGTTGTGGATGATTGTTACAAATCCACCAGCAGTCCTGGATAATGGAGACCAGAGGAAAAATGAAAACACATTATCCAGCATAATTTTGGCTTTGGAGGACAGTCAGCTGACATACGTGAGGGGTCTCCAGTCTGCAAGAGTGCTGGGAGGCATTGCTCAGTGTGTACATCAGAGAAACTGCGGGCAGTAAAGTGTTGCTGACTAAGAGGCTGTATAAGGCACAGCTAAAGCTAGGGGAGTGTATGTCCACACATCTGCAGAATATGAGAAGGGCATTCCTTGAGTTGGAAGAAAGAGGAATGACATTTACTGAGGCACGCAAGGTGTATATGGTGCTCAGTTCCCTGGGCAGTTCATGGGATGTTCTTGTGACAAGTCTGGAGCCTATGCAAGAGCAGGATTTAACCATGGCATATTTGACAGGTCGATTGTTAGAGGAGGAGCAGAAATGGCTGGGGAGAAGACCAGGAATGGGAGGAGAGAGCTTTCAGTACAAACCAGCATCTACAAAGGTCAAGGATGGAGGCAAAGCGGCTGAGACAGTGAATTTGTGAAGAGATGCTACACGTGGTACATACTCTGACAAAAAAGCCTGGAGGAAAAATATTAGAATGGGAATGAAAGGACACTTTCCTTTAGAAACTCCTAGTAGTTTGGTAAACATCTGCTTCTTTATGCCTACTCAGTTTAGTGTAGAACATTCATAATAGAAATCCCATTACCACAGTTTTATTTATTTTATTTATTTATTTATTTGATTTGCCAATTGTTTACAAGATAATAAGTATAAGTGTATACATAGTTGTGAATACATGAAATGGGTACATATAAGAAAAATAAAAGAAGAATAAGAGAAACAATAGGACAGGGACGGTAGGCACGTTGGTGCGCTTATGCACGCCCCCTACAGACCTCTTAGGAAAGGGGTGAGGTCAATAGTAGACAGTCTAAGGTTAAAGTTTTTGGGGTTTGGGGAAGAAACAACAGAGTCGGGTAGAGTATTCCAGACATTGACCACTCTATTGCTGAAGTCATATTTCTTGCAATCAAGTTTGGTGCGGTTAACATTGAGTTTGTATCTATTGTGTGCTCTTGTGTTGTTATGGTTGAAGCTGAAGTATTCATTGACAGGTAGGACATTGCAATGTATGATTTTATATACCATGCTTAAATCAGACCGAAGACGGCGTAATTCAAGGTTTTCTAGTTCTAGAATTTCAAGTCTGGTGGCATAAGGTATTCTACAACGAGTAGAGGAGTGGAGAACTCTTCTTGTGAAATATTTCTGGACTTTCTCAATTGTGCTAATATCAGATATGTAATGTGGGTTCCAGACTGATGAACTGTATTCGAGTATTGGTCTAGCAAATGTTTTGTATGCTCTGGTTAGTAGTGTGATATTACCAGAGAAAAAGCTACGTAGGATTAGGTTAACAACTCTTAATGCCTTTTTGGCTATGTAGTTGCAGTGGGCTCTAGCACTTAGATCATTAGAGGTGAGTATTCCAAGGTCCTTTACAGAGCTTGGGTCATCAACAAGATCTTGACTATTCAGCTTGTATTTTATTTTCTGATTTTTTTTGCCAATATGTAAGACAGAGCATTTATTTGTTGAGATTTGAAGTTGCCATTTGTTTGACCATTCTGATACATAGTCAAGATCTTTTTGTAGGGTAGCAGTATTGTCTGTGGTATTGAACAGCTTTACATCATCAGCGAAAAGAATGCAATTGCTCTTAATATGATCGCAGAGGTCATTTATGTAGAGTATGAAGAGAGTTGGTCCTAGAACACTGCCTTGGGAGACACCACTATTGACAGGTACAGAATTTGATAGGACGCTCCCAATTTTGACCATTTGTTGTCTGTTTGCCAGGAATGCTTCTATCCAGTTATTCAGTTGTCCAGAGATACCATAGGATTTTATTTTTAGGAGTAGTTTGTTGTGTACCACTGAATCAAAGGCTTTACAGAAGTCTATGTAGATTGCGTCTATTGCTTTGCCCTGGTCGAGTTGTGTCGTCCATATGTTTTTGCAGTGTAAGAGTTGCAGATTACAGGATAGTTTTTTTCTGAAACCAAATTGTTTATTGGAGAGTAGGTTGTTTGTCTCTAAGTGGAGGATGATGGATTGGTTAATAATTGATTCCATGACTTTACAGGTGACGCAGCATAAGGAGATTGGTCTGTAATTTTCAACTAGGCTTGGGTCTCCCTTTTTGAAGATGGGGATGACCGTGGCTTGTGACCATAGGTTAGGCAAGGAGCTGGTCCTGAAAGATTTTTCAAAGATTATGCTTAGAGGTTTGGCTATGGCAGTGGATAGCTTTTTTAAGAAGTAGGCACATATTCCATCCGGTCCAATAGCTAGAGATGGTTTTAGATTGCGTAGTGCTTTTTCAACATTGTCTTCTGTAAAATCGATATGTATTAGATCATTGTTGTTATCTGTGGTACGGCTAGGAAATACTGGGCATGATCCATTGCTGTTTACAAATACTGAGCCGAAGAATGTGTTAAAGAGGTTGGCTTTAATGGTGTCGTCGTTGCAGTCTTTACCATCAGGTCCTATCAAGGGTGGGATGGACCTTGAGTCTTTTAGTTTGTTGTTTACAAAATTGTAAAAAGCACGGGTGGAATTGGTGCTTAGAAGGTTTTCCTCTTGTTTAATGTGATAATTGGTGCATTCGGTCTTTATCTGGTGGCATAAATTTTTGTATCGGCTTTTGAAATTGGCAACGTGACCAGATTTGTTTTTCCGCCAGAGTGATCTCTTTTTGGATTGAAGTTTCCTTATTGTTATGGGTAATCTGCTTTTTTGTTTTGTTTTGGGAGTTGTTGTTGGTACATATAGTTTGATGACTCTTTTGACTTCAAGTAAAAATATGTTGTAATGGTCTTTAACAGTATTGCATCCAGTGAATAAAGATTGCCAATCAAGGGATGAGAGATCGTTGTCTATAAGATCATAGTTGCCTTTTTTGAAGTTACAATTGGGGATTACATCATTGTGGTGATTTTTGTGTGGGCGTATGTTGAGACAAA